AGTTAGAAACTTCACGCTGGTGACCAGGAGTTTTAACTGTTAGCAGTTCGGATACGAATCTAAATATTGCCGTAAAACCAGCCCAACCTGTAATCACTGTGGAGAGCTCGGATATACCTTTAAGGAATGCAACAAAAAAGCTGCACCACCCACTTGTGCGATGTTCAAAAGGACAAGTGATCACCATACTGGCGATGGAAGTTGCCCAGCACGGAAATACGCTGAGGACAAATACATTAATTATATAAACTATGAAGGCGCCTAAGAGCGCCGATGATTATTTGATTGTGTAATCACTTATACCTTGTAAATATTTTATTTTAATCAGTAATGTCGAAACAGTTGCTCTGTGACCTAGATAATTTTTCTGTGCCTGAGGTTAAATACTGTGAAGTCGAAGACTGTAAACAATATTTGCCGACTACTGATAATTTACTAACACTTATTACACAAATTATTCGCAGCATACACAAAAACATGAATGGTTTTGAGGTATTGTTTCTGTTGGGATGATGGACTCTTGATTAATAAGACATTGTTGTAACACATCACTTTATTATCTATTATTTTATAATTATAAACGGTCTTACTTCTTGTACGCATTTTAAAAGGGGAGACAAGTACGGCCATGACAGTTATTTTGTTCTTCTAACGGCACTAACTTAATTATTTTATGAAGAGAAAGAGAATAATATTTACATTTTACACAAATTACAACACGCCTCTCTGAATTTATACTCTTTATCTTTTCTATAAAAAAATACAAACAAAAAACTGTGTAAACTAAATTAATCTAAGCCCTAATCTATTTCTCAAAAATTTAGTCTTATCTAAACTTTTATTTAACATATCTGCTAAGTTAAATTTTGAATAAATTTTTACCATATCAATTATACCCTTTTCATTGTTTTCATTTATATAATGATACTGCACTTCAATGTGCTTTGAATTTTTAGTAAAATTACCGTATTTAGCAATCGAAACTGCTCCTGAATTATCTTCATACAATTTTATTGGTTTATCAAATTTTATATTAAATGATTCACTTAACAAGTTTCTAATGAAAAGTACTTCAGTCACTGCTTCTGACATTGCAATGTATTACACACATAACATTTAGTTACTGTATTTTGTTAATGTGTTTTCCAAAAAATTAAGTTTTCAGATAATCTAATTACAAAAACTGTTGTAGATTTTCTGTCTTCATTATCTCCTGCATAGTCAGAGTCTACCATACAATCCAATGTTTCAGTATTTATACTATCATAGTAAGTTAATCATAGCATATTTGTAATGTGTTCGGCCATAACAACTTTGATATCGGCTTAAGTAATTAACACTATATGCTATATCTGGCCTAGTGCCTCTACTAATATACAATAATTCACCTATTATATTTCTGTACTTTATACTTTCATCAACTTCTTTAGCTTGTTCTAATTTCAAGTTTGTTTCTATTGGAGTTTCATACAACTTAGTATTTCTTAGATTATATTTGACAGCCAAAGATTCAATATACTTTGTTTGACTTAATATCTATGCCTATATTATAACTTTTAATTTTTCCAAGGTCTTTCATTGCAAAGTTTGCCATTAAACTAGTTTTTACCTTTTTTACTTTTTCCTTATCTTTACAACAAATTAGAAGGTCATCAACAAATATTAATATATGACGGGGTAGTACGATTATTATCCTCAATAGGGCCCAAAGTTCCTCACTTACTAACTGCGGGCGTTGATGGGTCATGTTGGCTCAACAAAACAATTTAGTTTACTTGATTAAATTATAATTTCCAATAAATTCACAATGTAGATTATTACACAACTATAGCTAGATACGTATATCGCCAGGAACGCGTGACAGTTTCAATATGCGACCGCTCTGTCCGACTGCCACACAACAAGTGTTCATGTGCACCGTTCGGCCTTTAAACATTGACTCCGTCAAGCGCCGACAGGTGGCGCTGGCGTTTCGGATATTACGTAATTGCGACATATATATATTGGATCTTTGCTTGTACAATTAAGATACAGACAGGGCTCTCTCTAAGACCATAGAGTGCCTTTTGCAATTTGTAAACTTTATTGTCCATAGTTTCATAACCTTCCGGTTGATTTACAAACACTTCTGACTTTATATGACCATTTTAAAACGCTGTCTCAACATCCATTTGTTCTATGAATAAATTATTTTTACAACTGTATGACAATAAAATTTTCAATGTTTGCATTTTTCCTACTGGTGAATATACATTTTCAAGGTATTCCTTTTGCTGAAATCCTCGTACAACTAATCTTGCTTTATAAACATTATTACTTTTCTTTTTAAAGACCCACTTGACATCAATAACTTTTTTATCTTTTGGCCTTTCAACAATTTGCCATGTGTTATTTTTATTTAAACTATTTATTTCCGAGTCCATCGCTATTTGCCATTATTTATGATCATGGGAGTTCATCGCCTCCTCAAATGTATTTGGTACATTCGCATCAGTGTAATTTACATACATAAAATGTGATACTGAATTACCATATCTAGACACTGGATTTATCTTTCTTTTAGCCCTTTCTTTTATTATAAGTTTGTCTTTATCGTTGCTTACATTATCTTCATTTTTACCATCATTAACAAGATCTTTTACAGTATTATCAGAATTTGTTGCATTATCGTCTACATAGTTTTCATCAATGTTGGTTTTAAATTCTTCATTTTTAATATTTATAGTTTTGTTAGTTTCCAAATCCCTATCTTTTTCATCATCAACCTTTTCTAGACAAATTGATTGAGTATTCTCTTCGACTACCTACATGTCTAGCGTTAATTATTCTATTATTTAACAATATTCTATAACTTTATTTTTATTTTTATTTTTATTTATTTATATAGGGCAACTTACAAAACATACACTAATACATAATTTACAAACATGTTTTACAATTATTTTCTGAGTGTTGTCTTACTTACAAGTTGCCACGGCATGGTAAGGGACAGTTGCATCTAAGATTACAATGCAATATCTATAATAATACACAAAACATACAGAACATCATCGAAATTAGTTAAAGACAGTGATGATCTAAGAAGGTCCAAATGACGCAATAACTTTACTTTTAAATTTTGGCAGACTGTTTGAGAAGATGTCTACATCAATTTCATGATTTTTCGTCAGTAGTTTGTAGTCTATTTATAGTAGCGTTCTGACCCAAGTTGGTTTTAGAAGATTTAATAGAAAAAGGAGCGTATTTATTGGCACGGAGAGACCTTGAGGGAGCATTTATATTTTTTCAATAAGAATGGGGCAGTCTAAGTCACCGTTAACTAATTTGTAAAGCAAAATCTGATCCAATAACTGCCTACGATCGAACAAACTGTGGAGATTAAAATGTTTTAAACGACTTTCATACGTCGGCAGCAGTTTTACTTTATTGCACTGGTATGAAAGGTGCCAAAGAAAACGCTTTTGGACACTTTCGAGACGTTTGATATGTACCTCGTAGTGTGGTGACCAAACCTGAGCACAATATTCCAGACCATATCGAACCAAGGCCGAAAAAAGTCTAATCTTAGTCTGGGGCCTTTTAAAATCTTTAGAGTTCCTTATAACAAAGCCCAACATTTTAAATGCTTTTGTTGTTATTTTGTCAATATAACTGTTTTCATTATAACCTGCTAACACTCCTAGTTGGGCTTTATCATCCCATTTACTTTTTCTTAAAACTTTTGGAACCCTGACATACACTCTACTTCCATAAATCTTCAAATGCTCTACATTTGGTTTAGTACCGAAAAATATTTCATAGGGAGTTTTATTCTCTAGTGTATTAGCAATTGTTCGATTTTTTAAGTATGCTGCTGTTTTTAAGTATGCTTTCTGTTAATTTTAGGTTCTCTCATTAAGCATCTGCCTATGTCCATAGCGGACCTATTATACCTTTCTGCTACTCCATTTAATTAATGGACGTAGGGTGGACATGGTAATAACTCTATTCCCTTTTGTCTAATGAAATTAGTTATATCTCGATTCAAATATTCTTTGCCATTATCACACTGTAATTTCTTTATTCTTTTATTAAATTTATTTTCTACTAAAATAACAAATTCTGTAAGACAACTTGCAGTTTCTGCTTTGCTTTTAATACAAAAAATCGTTGTACATTTACTGTAATCATCGATAAATGTCAAAAAATATTTTTCTCCACCATAACCAGTTGTGCCATGTGGACCGTTTAAATCAGTATGTATCAATTCTAATATTTCAGTAGTCTTAGTTCTATTATTTTTGAAAGGTACATTAGACATTTTGCTTTCAATACAATTTGAACACTTCATTTCTGTGATTTCAACCTTATCTGGTGAACGTTCTACTAATTAATTATTTATTAACTTATTTAAATATTGAAAATTTACATGACCACGTAACCTATGCCATTTCTCTTTATCGGTTAATATTAACTTTGAAACAAAACTTTTTAAACAGTACAAATTGTCTACTTTGTTAGCAACAACTATTAATTCTCTTGATTGATTATAAATTTTTGCATTTTCATTTCTTGCTACTATTGTGCAAGTTTTGGTTATTTTTGAAAAACTTAACAAATTTTGTTTAATATCTTTTACAAAATAAACATTTTTCAGATCAATGTATTTTTTATTATTATAATTTTTGAAATACATTTTTATTGTACCTACTCTGGTCGATTTTAATACTCTACCATCTGGCAGTTTCACATCAATAGGAATTTTCAAATCTACATAACTATGAAAACATGTATCAGTCCTTATATTATGATCTGTACATCCACTATATAACAACCAATTAATTTCACAATTATTATCATATTCCTCTTCGCTACACCCCGTTAACTGATTTACTTCTGAATTACATACCTGAGCTGTCCATGACTCTGCTATAGAGCTGTCTTACAGAGTGCTTGAAGACTCAGCTCTGGGATGACCATGACCTCTACCTCGGCCACGACTTAGATAAGATTCACCTCTGTTATAGCCTCTCTGTACTCCTCGCTGGCTCGCTGGTTGGCTCGCTGGATATTTTTCTGGGTAATTTTGCAGTCCTTGGTAAATTTTCCTTCTTGATATAGCCAGTCTTTCCACAGATGAAACATTGTACTTTAGTTTTTGTTGCGAACGTACTCATATTACTTTTCTTGTTCTCGTTGTCACTGATAGTCATATTTTTCTCTTTTATTTTAGACTTTACATAATCCACTGTTCTTTTTTCTTCTGGAATTACATCAATAAAATCTCCGATATAGCTATAACGTGGGGGTAACGCTCTGAGCAAATATCTCATCTTCTCTGGTTCATCTAAATTTCGTTCATCGAAATCATTCGTTGTTTTCTCGAAATCAACATAAAACTCTTCTATTATATTGTAATTATTTAATTTAATCTCTTCCATTTTTCCTCTACATATTATTTGCATAGCAGTAGACTGTGTTAAATACATTTTGTCAAACTTTTTCATCATTTCGTGAGCTGTTGTACATTTTTTTTTTTTGTATTTTTTTTTTAAAGACAACTCCCGCACTAGGAATAAATCCTGTGTCGCGGGGGACTTTACAGACATACATGAAACGGACACAAAGTACACCCAAACTCAGAAAAACAGTTTGTGGATCACACAAAGTGTTGTCCCATGTGGGGTTTGAACCCACAACACTCGGCGTAATAGGAAGCGGCGTGGCGACCGCTTAAACCACTACGCCATCCGTGCAGTCAGTGCATTCATTAATATATTCTAGTTGTTTATCAGAAATTGTGCTAAATATTATTGTCCTTGCTTTTAAATCCATTTTCTTCCAATCCGCCTCTTGATTTTTATATTTGACAGGCATCATGCAAATGGCGGGCTCGTTACATTCTTTGTATTCTAGTAAAGTTAGTAACCTCAACTTCCAACTAGACTAATTTACGCCATCGAAGATGGGCATCATTATGTCTTCTATTCTTGCTTGCTTAGCCATTTTGGTGATGATAATGTGATGTTTTATTCTTTGCTATTACTTGCACGAGGCGTGAGTTTCCCTTCACGTGGTATATTTTGATTTTAACTATTTTTCGCCTTCTAATTACCCAACCACGTTCTGCTACCACGTTAGGATGATAAACTCTTGATTAATAAGACACTGTTGTAACACATCACTTTATTATCTATTATTTTATAATTATACATGGTCTTACTTCTTGTACGCATTTCAAAGGTGCTAGGTCCATACTTGTGGAATATCGGCTTCGACGATTTTCTTGCGATACCAATACCAACCGGATGTTCTCTGAACGCGTATGCTGATGACGGCTTATTACTGGTGGAATCTGATACTAGGGCGGGGCTTGAGAGATTAGCCAATAGATGTTTGAACTTGATATCTCAATGGGGTGAACGTAATCGCTTAACTTTTGCACCCAACAAAACCTTCCAGCTACTTTTAAAAGGTAACCTCAAATCACCGCCAAGCATTAGATTTAACAATGTTACTGTAAAAAATAAAGCCTCAGTATGTTACCTAGGATTAGTTTTAGAAAGAAACTTTTCATTTATCGAACATATTAAAATAGTTAATGAAAAGTCTAAAAAGAGTTTCTGTGCATTGACAAGGATATCAACTGCGACATGGGGTCTATCATTTAATACATTAAAGATCATATACGGAGCTACTTATTTAGGTTATATGTGCTATGGTGCACCTGTATGGGCCGATAGGGCGACCGTAGGCGCTGTCCGTCGCAAACTGTTACAAGGCCAACGACTTGCACTGATATTCTTGTGCAAGGCATATAGGACGGTTAGCACTGAGGCTTTGCCGGTGTTGGCGGGTGTGCTTCCGGTCGATCTCGAGGTGCAGAGACATGCAGCCATGTACTATTCAAGACAACAAAACATGGAATGCAATTTTTTGAGCGCGCGGGATCGCGGTAAAATTACAAGATTGCTTCAACAGCAGTCCGATGTCTATAATGACCTCATAGACGAATGGCAACAACGCTGGGATGAATCATCCAAGGGGCGCCATCTTTACCAATTCTTTCCATCTGTTCGCGAACGGTTGTCGAGGACATGGCTTCAGGTGGATCACTGTGTCGCTCAATTTCTTACGGGTCATGGTAACTTTAAGAGCAAGCTTTATTCATTTAAATTAGTCGAGTCACAATTGTGTCAATGCTCAACACCTAACTCTCGCTATGAACAGTCTGCTCATCATATCCTCTGGGAATGTAGTCTCTGGTATAATGAACGTAATATAACGCTGAATACCTTGCAGGTAACATCTGGGGCGGTATACTATGGGGATCTTGTGTCAACTAGGGTGAATTTCCGTGCGTTTAGGCGATTCTGCCATACATATTATAGAAATCAAATATAGCTCACGTAGGACCCGTAATATTTTGTGGCCGTGGTGCTTCCCTGTTTAAAAGGGTGTATGCCCATTTTACTTCATTTTGTCTCCCGCTTTGCTAAGGGGGGAAGTGGATTTACTGTATTTCCAACTCCTCCAATTTTCTTCTGATTAATTTCGTTGCGGGTTCCAAGACAGTTTAATTTCTTCCTGGGACTTCCCGAGTGTCATAACTCGGTGTGTTCGTGGGTCACTGCTGTGGATCCTGGTGTACAGGAGTTACAGTGGTGGGCGTGTGGGTGGGATTAGTGTACGCATTTCAAAAGAGGAGACAAGTACGGCCATAACAGTTATTTTGTTCTTCTAACGTCACTAACTTAATTATTTTGACAATAGATGGTCACCACGCATAACTCTATGAAGATAAAGAGAATAATATTTATATTTTACACAAATTACAACAGTTTCATACTCTTGATATAAGCTATGATATTATGATTCAAGCAAGAGCCACTTTGGTGGGTAGGGTGGTAGTGTGGCGGTAAAAGTCTATTAAATGAATAAATATTTAAGTAGCTTTGAGTTAGTGTCGGTGCTCCCAGAAGTAATGTTAATGTTAATTTCAACAGGTTAGATTATATATATAAGGGTTTTTAACTGAATTTCAAGGGATTCTAAAAATATGACAATGTTTTGTGAAGGTGGTATATACTCGTATATGGCCAAAATTATTGTAACCGGTTTTATTCGAATAATTAAGTTTCTCTACAGATATATTTAAGTTATGTTTAGTATATATTACTAAACCATCGTTTTGGTTAAATGTTATATTATTTTTATGCAGTAAGAAACCATTAAGAGATGGTAATTGTGGATGTTGATTTGACAAGCAACACTCTGTCAAAATCATAATATCATAGTTAATTTCAAGAGTATGAAACGATACCTCAAAACCATTCATGTTTTTGTGTATGCTACGAATAATTTGTGTAATAAGTGTGAGTAAATTATCAGTAGTAGACACATATTGTTTACAGTCTTCGACTTCATAGTATTTAACCTCAGGCACAGAAAAATTGTCGAGGTCACAGAGCAACTGGTTCGACATTATTGAATAAAATAAAATATTTACAAGGTATAAGTGATTACACTATCATATAATCATCGGCGCTCTTAGGCGCCCTCATAGTTTATATAATTAATGTATTTGTCCTCAGCGTAGTTCCGTGCTGGGCAACTTCCATCCTCAGTTTGGTGATCACTTGTCCTTTTGAAACGTTTACACATCGCACAAGTGGGTGGTGCAGCTTTTTTTTTGCATTCCTTAAAGGTATGTCCGAGCTCTCCACAGTGATAACAGGTTGGGCTGGTTTTACGGCAATATTTAGATTCGTATCCGAACTGCTGACAGTTAAAACTCCTGGTCACCAGTTTCTAACTGGACAAGAAGTCCAGTTTATGTAGATTCTCCCTTGGTTAATGAGAGCTATTCTAATGTTAGCCGATATCTCAAGTATATAGTTACAGGTAGAAAGGCTTCTTTTACCTGATTTGTGGCTCAGTTTTATGGTGTTGAGACAAGACTCGTGAAAAGCGCCAGGAAACTTGTCTGCCAAGTTCTGCTCACAAATGTATTCAAGTACCTCTTTTTCATTCAGGGCTACGGGTGCACCGACGACAGTGACTCGTACAGCATCGAGGTACAGGTAACGGAAACAATTTGTGACCCTAGTTTCCCCTTAACACTGAAATGACAAATTTATAAAACTATCATTAAACCTGCCGCCCTGTATGGGTCGGAAAGTTGGCCAATATGAGAACGGATGAGAGACGCCTGAACGTAGCCAAAATGCAAATGCTGAGATGGATGTATGGTATGACTCGGATGGACAAGGTTAGGAACGAGGGAGTCTGAAAGTAGCGCCACTGGGTGAAAAGTTAAGAAGTAATAGGTTATCTTGGTATGGAAATGTCATGCGGAGGGATGAGGAAAATGTGGAAAAAAAAAAGTGTTAGGTAATGGGAGTTGTAGGGTAAAAGAGAAGAGGAAGGCCAAAAAGTGGTAGGTGGACTGTGTGAGTGAGAATATGGCTAGGAAGGGAGTAAACAGTGAGATGACGAACGATAGAGTAGAATGGAAGAATCATAGTTACTGCGCCGACCTCAAATAAAATTGGGATAAGGGTAGGCAGATGATGAAAGTTTTTCATGAAAATAAATTAATAAAGAGATGTCAATCATTTGTGGGGCTCACACATATATACATACATTCACACTTATTACCTATACACATAACATTTATATTTAATAAATTAAGCATACACAAACGTACTAACACGCGTACAATAGGCGGAGCTTACGCCTCCTACCACAACGGCGGCGCGCGGGCGCACCGGCCCTTGTATCCGCGGCAGCTCCCGCTATGCTCCGTTGTGTTGCTCGCATCTTGACGCTCTGTGGCATCTACCGCGCACTGTATTAATTGTTATAATTTTTTCTTATACTTTGTTTCCGAGCTTTGAATTGTTTATAGTGTGTTTTCCATCTTCTTATTACATTGCTTGACTTTACCTTTCTGTTCTTTGTGCTTGTTTTACTTAACTGTGTGACCTGAAAAAAAACATTTGTGACCTGTACTGGACCTTTTCTTGGACTTGTGGTATGTGAACATTTTTACTCCTACCCAACACACTACAACTGGTGACCCCGGTTAGGAACACTAAAGTTAGTGATAGCAGTGATTCCCTAACTACCGCCGAAACTGTGGAAGAGAACGTTACAGTGCGAGTGCCTAGAAAAATGCGTGTTGTTACCGGCCGTCACGACACCTCATCAGACCAACGCAAAGTCACGCTTAAGGTGGCAAAATTTTCGGTTGAAGACCCGGAACTTTGGTTTGCGCTTTTAGGAAGTCAATTCGATAGCCTTGATATTACCAAGGACTATGTAAAATTCAGCTGCGTGACCACCAGGATCGATATACAACATGCGAAGACTGTAAAGGATATCATATTGAACCGGCCGGCTAAAAATCGATATGATAAGATTAAAACAGAACTTCTCC